TATAATTTACTACTTCGTGTCCTGATTTTTAGCATTGTTCCGAGATTTAAGAATCGTTGTTGTTATGTGTTTAATTTGGGACTACGGGACGGCTTCTCGGGAGATCCCTCTGTACTTGAGATATTCTGGACTGAGGGTGCGGGATACCAAGAGATCCCTGGCACATGTGTTCTATATATATATTGGGATACAAAGAGATCCCCGGTTTACTTATTGAGGATACCAAGAGATCCTCGGGATACTAAGAGATCCCCGACTTACTTATTGAGGATACTAAGAGATCCTCGGGATACCGAGAGATCCCCAATGTTGATGATGAGGATACCAAGAGATCCTCGGGATACCAAGAGATCCCCCGGCTACTATTCCTTGTGCAGTTTTCCGTGTATTGTTACCTTCGCTTTCTATTACTGTTCTTCCTTATTTACCTGGTTTAGATTCTCGCTGTAGACTTTATTTAAACTATTTCTGTTATTTCATTATTTATTATGTTATCTCAGTAGGGCCCTGACCTTCTTCGTCACTACCCAATCGAGGTTAGGCTTGGCACTTACTGAGTACCGCTGTGGTGTGCTCATGCCCTTCCTGCGCATGTTTTTCATGTGCAGAACCAGGTACTTCCTCCCAGACGTATCATCCTCGTGGTGGAGAGTCCTAGCTGAGAATTGAGGTATATCTGCTACGTTCGCAGACCAGGAGTCTCTACTCTATTCCGGCTTTAGCAGATAGTTCCTTTTCCTTCCTTTCATGTTGTTCAGACATTCTGGTGTAGAGCAGTTTACTACATTCTATTAGCCTGTGTTTCCCGTGAGTTTCCGGGTTTTTGGGATTTAGTTACAGACTTCCGCATATTTCGAGTTGTATAGGCTGAGTGGCCTTGTATACAGTTGTTATTTCCGTATGTTCAGTTTTAATTTATTATCCACAAATGTTAATTTGTTATTCCGTACTGTTAGGCTTACCTAGTTGTAGGAACTAGGTGCCATCACGACATGTTTCATGGAGGGTGAACTGGGGTCGTGACATTAATTCTCGTTATCAGCTCTGTTTCTGCGATTCTGTTTCTCACCTTCCTGTTTAGTCATCACCTCTTTCTTTAGGTTTAATAGCACACCTTTTGTTGTCGAGATGTCCCGAACCCTTCGTATACATAACGAAGTTTCCGACGCCACTCCGTTGTCGGTGGCTCCTCCTTTCGGTGCTGAGGATCTCATGGCTGAGGAGGGTGAGAGTTTTCCTACCGTAGAAGAGATACTTTCCAGAAACCCCTTATCTAGAAGCGATTTCCATAAGGAACCCGCTTCTTCTCCTGTTCCGGTGATCTCCGAAACTGGGCCGTCTCATATAGATGAACTCCGATCTACATATCGTATTCCGTCTTACGTCGAGATGGTTCCTGTTGGGGGAGACATCGTGGAGGTCCATAGACCTGGGTACTGTTCTTTTTATGTTTATCCTTTCGTAATTGGTTATACTCTCCCTCTTCTTCCGCTGGCGGAGGAGTTCTATCGGTTTTACAACATCTGCCCAGCACAGCTGTCTCCGTATTTGAATAAAACTTTTCTGATGCTGACAAAGTACGCGGAGTTGCTGGTTGTGAGGTCGACATCCACCACCTATTACATTTGTTTTCACCAAGCTTTTACAGAGGCACCATGATACTTCTGCGACATCGCGGGACCAGGGGGCTGATAGTTGGAATGGATGACAGGGCGAGAAAGTTTTGGCACAAGTACTTTTTTATCAAAACGGAGCACTTGGTGTCGGACCCTGGTGGATTCCCTGAGCAGTGGAATCATAATCGTAGGTGTTGATGGCGTACGCTTGTTATCTACTTTCATCCTTTTTGATTTTTATTCATCTGTGATTTTTCTGTGTAGCTGAGAGGCGTGCATCCTTTCCCGTCGTCGGCATTGAGGATTGGGTGGCTCGCGTGTTACCTCACATGGTGGGATCCGAGATTGGGCAGTTTTCCACAAACGCTTTGGACCGAAGGTTCCGCCTAGTAAGTGTTACTTTTGTTTCGATCTTTAGTTGCTTGCCGTCACTTATTGATACGACCTTTGTGGTGACAGGTCGACGGGTTTCCAAAAAGAAAGCTCCAGTGCCGGCATTTCGCTAGGCCATTGCATCGGCAGGGATGCAATTTACTTTGGCTGAGTCCGCCGGGGGAGGTCGTTCTCAAACTTTATCAACAAGGGACCCCCCTCCTCGGGATGTCGCTGTATAGGACGAGATCTCTTCCTGGCCTGTCTACCACCTCGTAGATGAGTCCTCTAACGGGGAGGAGTCGCCTTCGAGAAAGAGGAGGAGGGTGGAGCTCGGGAAGGCCGTCGCCACCGGCGTTGAAAAGAAGAAGGTCATTGCTTCGAGAGTGGCGTCCTCGCCTATGTTGGACACAGGAGCCATTTTTATGGCGGATGCTATTAAGACGGGGAGGTCCCCTAGGGCCGAGGAGACATGCCAAGGCGGGGAACCTGTATGGGCTGCTGAAGGTGGCGCATTGTCGGCTGCCGGAGGGGATGGAGCGGTGCTCGCGGAGGACGATGGTTCAGGCTCGAACATCGATCCCGAAGAGGTGCGGGCCTTTTTGGAGAGAAATACCCACGTGGAAGTGAGGACGGAGGGTTCTAACCAACACGTAATCATTCCCGTGGGTTACGATCTTTTGGCGAACTCTGAGCAGGCTGTGTCGGCCTTTGCTCCCTTGTGCGCCGCTTCTGAGAACGCAGCGCTTCAGGCGATGAGTGACGCGGAGCTATCACGGAGTATTTCTGGCATGGCTTTGCGAGTAAGTGTTTTCTCTTTTCCTGTTAGGATTTGTTTCGCATGCGTAATCTACTTATCCTGACTTTCTTTCCTCTACATGTTAGACTCTCATTATGGAGATCGAGCGCGACTAGAGGGATGAGCGAATGGCGATCGTTTTTAAGAAGGTGGCCTCCAAGTACAAAGAGTGCCGCACCAAGCACCGTGCGTTGGCCGATGTCTTCACTCAAGATAGCAATTTTTAGCTGTTTCGCGACGGGCTTAATCAGAAAGAGGAAGAGTTGGTGCAGAAAGTCGAAGAGCTGAAAGAGCGGGATAATGAGCTGATGAAGGCCACAGGTCATTGCAGTGAACTTGAGGCGGCTCTTAAGGCCAAGGATGATGAGCTCGAGGTGATCAAGGGGGTGATGGCCGAGAACGCCGATCTTCAGGCGCGAGTGACCACCTTAACTGCTTAGCTTGGGCGAAGGGAAGCAGAGGTTGTCGATCTGAGGGGTGAGTTGAGCATTAAGGCTGATGAATTGGCTCGTGCCGAAAAGGGCAGGGTGGCTGCCGTATCTGAAGTAGCAGCCTTGGATGATGCCCTCCGTGTTTGTAGATCTGAACGGGATAATGAGGTGGAGACATCGACGCTCAAGGTCGCGAGGTTAGAAGATCGGATCCAAGATCTGGAGGCGGAGTTGTCCGGATTGAACGAACAGGTTGTTGCTTTGAAGGCAGAGGAAGTGCGACGGCAGTCACAGCCATCCACGCCTCATACTTCTGTTGATCCCGTCGTGTCGCGGGAGTTGTATGATATGTGGGTTCATGCCGAGGCTCAGCTTGATGTGTATAAGTCCCTGAAAGCTAACGGGAAGTTTTCCGAGGCAGAACTCGAGGGTGTTCATGTTAAAGCACGTGCAGCCCATGAAGCCTGTGATTATGATTCCAGTACGCCTGGCAGAACTCGAGGGTGTTCATGTTAAAGCACGTGTAGGTCCGTTGTATTTATTTAGTTTTGCCTTGCTATTTTTGTGAGGGCATCTTCGAGCCCTTTGTAAAAAGTTTTTGTAATATAACAGTTGTAATGGAATGATTACCTTTTTGTTTTGTACCTCCGAATTGTTATTTTTGTTTGCTTTTCGGCCGCTTGTGTGTAATGTTTTGGCGTAGTCGATCGTAGATCTTAGTAACTCGAGCAAGGTCGAGTGTAAAGTAATTCGAGCGAGGTCGAATGTTAAGTAATTCGAACGAGGTCAAATGTTAAGTGATTCGAGCGAGGTCGAATGTTAAGTGATTCGAGCGAGGTCGAATGTTAAGTGATTCGAGCTGTCGAATGTTAAGTAATTCGAGCGAGGTCAAATGTTAGGTGATTCAAGCAAGGTCGAATGTTAAGTAATTCGAGCGAGGTCGAATGTTAAGTGATTCGAGCGAGGTCGAATGTTAAGTGATTCGAGCGAGGTCGAATGTTAGGTAATTCGAGCGAGGTCGAATGTTAGGTGATTCGAGCGAGGTCGAATGTTAGATGTAAAAAATGATGGAGAGTAAAACGTTGCTTTATTTCACTCATTAGAGAACATCTTGGTGGAGAGTAAAAAATGCTGCTTTATTTCATTCACTGGAGAAAACTATACATGTCCGTTTCATGCATATATTGGAGAAGTTTCCATGTATCTAGTCCCTTCATTGTTCGGCCCGGAGAAGCAATTGGCAGGCGGGGCGATGAATTATACTTTGAACTTCGAGATGTCCCCTTCGTCGCCTCGTTAAAAACCTCCCCGAGAAAACCCAATTGGGACAAAACCCGGGTGAGGGAAAAAAAAAGTACGACTTGAGGGGCGTCCTTTTTCAGAAGTTGAAGTATTTGAGGTGGGCGACATTCCAATTGTTTTGTAGTAGTTTTCCTTCCATTGTTTCTAGTTGGAATGCTCCTTTGCCTGCTGCTGCTGTGATTTTGTATGGCCCGTCCCAATTGGTTCCTAGTTTGCCTTCTTTCGGGTCCTTGCTAGCTTGTGTTTTGGCTTTGAGAACATAATCTCTGACTTTGAGTGGTCGTATTTTGGCCTTTCTGTTGTAATACCTTTCCGCTTGTTGTTTTTGGGCTACCTTTCTTACGTAAGCCATGTCTCTTCGTTCTTCTGCCTCGTCGAGGACTTGTTTTCTGTTCTCGTCGTTGTTTTGTCCGCTTTCGTTAGAGTATTTCAGGCTAGGCTCTCTGACCTCAACAGGTATCATGGCGTCGGTCCTGTAGACTAGTGAATATGGCATTTCGCCTGTGCTTGTTTTCGGCATGGTGCGGTAAGCCCATAGTACCTTTGGTAGCAATTCGGCCATAACCCTTTAGCGTCCTCAAGCTTTTTCTTTAAGATGTTCAATATTGTCTTGTTGGAGGATTCGGCCTGACCGTTGCCGGCAGGATGGTATGGCGTGGAGAGTATTTTCTTGGTGTGCCATTTTTCGAAGAGCGCGGTGGTCTTTTTCCCGAATAATTGGGGCCCATTGTCACAGCTGATTTCTTTAGGGATGCCGAAATGGCATATGATGTTCTTCCATTTAAAGGTGATGACTTCCTGTTCTCGTATTTGGGTGAACGCACCTGCTTCCATCCATTTGGAAAAGTAGTCAGTTCGAACTAAAAGGAAACGTATCTTACCTCGCCCTGCTGGGAGGGGTCCGACGATGTCCATTCCCCATTTGATGAACGGCCATGGCGAAGTGACAAAGTGGAGGCGTTCGTCTGCTTGATGTATCATAGGTGCGTGTTTTTGGCACTGCTCGCATCTCTTGACATAATCTGCGGCTTCCTTTTTCATAGTGGGCCAGTAATATCATGCCCGAATGAGGCATCTGACGAGGGCTCTGTTGCCTGTATGGGCACCGTAATGACCTTCGTGTACTTCTTCGAGCACGCGCCTTGTTTGATTCGGCCCTAGGCATTTCGCCAAGGGCCCACCGAACGTTCTCTTGTATAGGTCGTGATTTATGATGCTGTACCTGGCCGCTTGCATTTGAAGCTTTTTGGCTTCCTTTTTGTCTCGTGGGAGTACTCCCTACTGTAAATATGCCATGATGCGGTTGCGCCAGTCCCAAGTTAAATTTATGGAATGTACCTTAAGTTGGTCTATTGACGAGTGGAAGAGGGTGACCACATTCTCCTTAGTGATATTCTTGGTGGCTGCTGCTAATTTGGCGAGGCCATCTGCCTCGATGTTTTGCGCTTGAGGTATCTGGTCGAGTCGACATTCATCGAATTCTAGCAGTAGTTTATGAATTTCTACCTGGTACTTTTGCAGCCTTTGTTCTTTGATTTGGAAAGTCCCTGTAACTAGGTTGATGACGAGTTGCGAGTCGCATCTCAGGACGATCCGTCGTGCGCCATATTTGAGAGCTAATTTTAATCCTGCAATTACGGCCTCATACTCGGCCTCATTGTTAGTCATATCGGGGCACCGTATGGATTGGCGTATAACTTTGCCTGCTGGGACTTCGAGTACGAGTCCCAGTCCTGATCCCGACGCATTTGATGCGCCGTCGGTATAAAGGACCTAAAGTTTAGGTTGCCCAGGGGAAGTACGAGAAGCTTCTTGCTCGACCTCGGGCATTATTTTGGCACTGAAATAGGCGACGAAATCGGCGAGTACCTGCAATTTTATCGCTGTTCGCGGCTGATATGTTATATCATGCTCGCTCAATTCTATGGCCGACTTAGTCAGTCTTCCCGATAATTCGAGTTTATGTAGGATGCTCCGCAAGGGGAAGGTCATTACTATCGATATGGAATGGCACTGAAAGTAGGGTCTAAGATTTCTTGAAGCTATGACCAGTGCTAAAGCCAATTTCTCGAGGTGGGGGTACCTCGTTTCAGCGTCGACTAGGGTTTTGCTAATATAAAAAATTGGAGACTGCGTACCTTTGTTTTCGCGGAACAATACTGCGATTACCGCGACTTTTGAGATGGCCAAGTAGATTAGGAGGCGCTCGCCGGGTTCTGCTTTGGCGAGCAGTGGAGGCGAGGACAAGTATGCCTTTAGTTCCCTCAAGGCCTCGATGCATTCTGAATTCCATTGGATCCCGTTGTCTTTTTTCAGCATATTGAAGAATTTATGGCACCTGTCGGATGACCGTGAGATGAATCTCGACATGGCGGCTATACGGCCAGTCAGTTTTTGGGCATGTTTTGTTTAGGTCCGTGAAATCTATGCACATCCACCATTTCCTATTTTTCTTTTTTACCATGATCACATTGGCGACCCATTAGGGATATTTTGATTCTCGGATGGAATCGTTGGCGAGCAGCTTATCTACTTCATCACTAACAGCCTCGTTAATTGTGGCGTTGAATTTTCTCCTTATTTGCCGCACTGGTGGATAGAGTGGGTCGACGTTCAGCTTGTGGGTGGCAACGTCTTTTGGGATCCCTGGCATATCTGCATGGGAGAAAGCGAACGAATCGACGTTATCAATTAAAAACTTGTGAAATTTACCTGGTTCTGAGAGTTTTTGTCCGATGTAAGCCTTTTTGTTGCCGTCGCTGCTATCCAGTTGGATGGGATCAAGATCTTCTATCGTTGATTCAACAGCTTCCACGGTGTCGGGGTCCCTGGTGATGTCTATTTGCACGTCGGGTCCGATTCCCGACTTCGGTGATTGCTATGCTTCTGAGTCTGCTCCTTTTAGTTGTTGGGTGTATGGGCAGTCTTGGGCAATGCGATCGCATTCTTGGGCGGTGCTTTGTTCGCCTCGGATGCTGAATATCCCCCATGGAGTAGGGAACTTTATTACTTGATATAGGCCTGACGGTATGGCACTCATGGCGTGAATCCATGGTCGTTCAATGATGGCGTTGTAAGTTGTATCCTGGTTCATGACATGGAACGTTGTTTCTAGGGTGACACCCCCGGCCAAAACGGGCACCGTTATCTCCTTGGAGGTTCGCTCAACTGCATTATTAAAACCTGTTAGCGTTATGCAACACGGTACTATCTTGTCTTCGAGTCTCATTTGTATGAGGACTCGAGGGTAGATAATACACGCGCCGCTTCCGTCGTCTACCATTATTCTATTCACATTAGTATCTGAAATACGTAAAGTAATAACAAGAGCATCGAAATGAGGGAAAGTCAAACCGTCGGTATCTGACTTATCGAAGATGATACTGTCTCCGAAGTCGTCGTACCGTTCGTGAGTGATCGACCGCTTGAGTTTGTGTGTGGTGGTGAACTTCACTTGGTTGATCGCTGCTTCATCGCCTTCGCTGACGATCATTTGGATGGTGCGAGCGGGGGAGGGTGGCTTTGGAGGTCCCTGGTGTTGTTCTCGTCCGCGACCGAAGTTGGCTCGTCCATGGTCGCTCATCAGTTCCCTCAGGTGCCCTTGGTTCAGCATGTTTACTACCTCTTGCCGTAGAGCTATGCAGTCCTCAGTTTTGTGACCCCGCTTCTGGTGAAATTCACAGAGGACGTTCGACTTTTGTATACTTGGGTCGGACTTCATCTTTTGTGGCCATTTCACCTTTGTGCCAAGCTTCTCTAGTGCGTACACTATTTCTGAAGGGGAAACACAAAAAATGTGAGCGGATAAGAGTAGAGGCATACCTCTTTCATTTCGTTGAGTCCCTGTTTGTGGTCTGGGCGGCCCTTCTGCATGTCGGGGAGACGGTGGGATGGCTGTTCTGATGTAGGGCTGATGTCTTTCTTGGTTGAGACGAGGACCTGGTTGATCTCTCCGACCGTCGTTACGACGATCTTTTCTCGCCTCTATTTGAACTGATGTCAGCCGTTGAGTCGGGCCGTTAAGGTCGTCCTCGTCAGCTCTTACCTCGGCGCAATAGGCATTGTGGATTTCTTCCCAAGTGGTGGGAGGGTATTTCATGAGCCTGCTTAGTAGCTTTCTAGTTGCTCTCGACCCGTTCCTGCTTAACCCGTTCTAGAAGGCCGCTACCGCCATCCCTTCCGATACATTTGTTTGGCTCGTTCTCACTCTATTAAACCGGGCGAGGAAGTCCCTGAGTCCCTCGCCAGGTTATTGCCTGACAGCGAATATGTTATTCACCCTAGCTTCCGCCTTTTTAGCCCTTGCATGGGCAGTGACGAACTTGTCGGCCATTTCCTCGAACGTTGCTATTGATCGCGCCGGCAGTTATGAATACCAGGTTAAGGCTCCCCCCGTCAAGGTTTTGCCTAACTTTTTCATTAGCATTGACGGTACTTGCTCCTTTGAAAGGTCGTTGCCTTTTACCGCTGTGACGTAATGGATGATGTGATCTTCGGGGTTTGTAGTACCATCGTATATCTTCAGGTAAGGTAGTATTTTGAAGGTTTTGGGAATGGCATGTGGAGCCGCTTCCTTGCTATACCGTTGTTCGATGAACCGACCAACATCTCGTTTTGGTAGTAGCTTTGGGGCACCCGGTATCTTATCGACCCTTTCTTGATGTTCCCACATCTGGTCACGGAGTTCCTTGTTTTTGTTTTCCATTTCTTCCTTCTTCTTCAGGATGGCTACGAGTGCATCATTACCTGCATCAACAGAGGTGTAAGTGATACTTGTTTGAGGGACGGGCTGCTCGCCTGTGATCGCAGTGGTGTCTGTTTGCGTAATTATGCTTTCCCTTTGAACGGGTTTGTTGAGCATGTTGTTTAGAGTGCTTGTCAGCCACTCTTCCAGTAATTTTTTCACTGCTGGTGGTGCTTCCCCAGCTGTAGACGTGGAGGCTCCCCTTTCGCGTGAAGCTGTTATGCTTTCGTGAGGGGGAGGTGAAGCACTTCGCCTGGGCGTGGCGTTTGGTGTCACGTTCTCGTTGTCTCCCCTGCCATCTTCGTTGTTGGTGTTCAGAATGTTGGTAGTGACGCCTGCTATCGCTTTCAGTCTTGCATTTCCTTTTCCTGCCATCGTCAGTTTGTGCAAACGAAGAAAAGATGGTTTTTTTTACCTAGAAAGAACTATAGTTTCAACTACAACCTCCCCACAAACGGAGCCAAATTGTTTGAGCAAATAAATGCTAAACCAATTAATGATGAGTTAAAGGGTGAATCTCAGTTGAACCTAATAACTTTTAGATAAAATAAAATAAAATTTTTGTATAACGAGTAGAGTTCAGGAGCATTAAATAGTGAACTTGATTTGTTATGATTGACAATAGCGTAAATGTATAATAAATGTAAGCAATGACAAAGATTATAATAGGAAAGGAACTATCACCCAATGACTATATGATTGGGATGTTCCTTTTCTCTGACGGCGACGTGAAAAAGCGAGAGATCCAAAAATGTATATGGATCTTGAGATTTATGGATAAGGGTTGGACAACATGTGCTTGAATAAATGAATAAGACAACTCTTTCGTATATTCTTCTTTCAACTTTTACAATATTTTCCAGTTCGAAAAGGCAGATACCCCTTTTATTCCCTATCTCTTCCTATTTATAAAGGACATTCCCCAAAAAATTCTAAAAAGTACAGCATAAAGGAATATTCTTTATGTCCACTTCTAAACTTAAGTTACCGTTACTATCCTATCTCAGCTGCCCGCTTCTGGCGTGAGCCTTTATGAGGACGACCTTCAATCGTTGTGTCGTGGTCGACCCCGTCATTTGTCTTGCTTATCCGTTATCGTGGTTACCAAATTTGAACCTATACAATACCAACATTAATTAAGTGATGAAAATAATTTATGATAGAATAAAGATGAAATATCTTTTAATTCTTCAACAAACATAATCTTCCGAGCATTACATCATCAATAAGTGATAATCACCTTACTTTATCTTTTCGAGGTGGAAGTAGTTAAGGGTCAATCACGTTTCATCATTTAGTTGCATCAAAATTGTGTTGATAACCATTGTTTAACTAATTATTAAGGACTATTATAGCACAAGTTCTCTTATGTATAAGTAGCTAAAAATAGCAACATGTTAGCCACGATTGTTGGTGTAGTGGGTATTATGAATGTGGTCTCACATGACAAAGTGAGAAGAAAATCCAGGAATATATTGTCAACGCTCGGAAAAAATCGAAGCAATCATTTCTATTTCCATCATGATATACGGGATTTTTTTGCTCCCTTATGCTACGATTATTAACACGTATTTGCAAGCTCTCTAAACTTTAGCCTAACATGTCTAGCTTTATATGAATTTTATAATATGTAGTAGTATAGAAGTTTATTTATAAACTCCAATTTACATCTTGTCCGGACTAGGAAAATAGCTTGTTAGTAGATCAAATGCTGAGGCGAAGCCAGGATTTATAGTTTGTGAGTTTGGGGATTCTAATCCTTTTAAGTTATTAGGTTCTAAATAAATAATTTGTACATATTCAATGAATTTTTAAAGATAAATATAGAGTCCGAACCAAAGCTACTGGATTCGGCGAACCCGTAGGGAACAGTAGCTCCGTCCCTGATCAAATGACATATTTGTGCTAATATATTTCAATTATACTCCATATCAATCGTGGTAAAATTTCATTAAACCAATTTTCTCAAGTATATATGTTTGTTTTCATCTCCGTAGTCCTAATTGATCTCGTGCAGAATCCAGATCAGGAATTACCTAGATAAGATATTCAAATGATTTACATATAGCCTGCTTCGACGTGCTTTTCAAAAAAATAATTTTGGTGAAAAACAGTTTGTGTTTGGCTAATTAATTTGAAAAATATTTTTGAGCTGCAATTACTATTTGACTAAGCTTTTAAAAAGTGATCCTACGTGTATTTTTCTCAAAAGTACTTTTTAGAAAAGCAATTTGGGGGAGAAACTATTTTTGTTTTTGCTTTTCAAAAACTGCTTCTGCTTCTACTCAAAAGCATTTCGAATCCTTCTAAAAAGCCAAATACCTTAACTATGTAAAAAGCACTTTTCGCAAAAAAAAAAAAAACTTTTGGCCAAAAAAAAGTATAGCGATTAGTCAATACTTATTTTGTCCTGAAAATTTAAACTAAAACTCTTAACTTCAAGACTTTGTGTCATGAAAAATTGAACTGAAATGAAAATTCAAGACACATTTACTAATTTCTTAATAGCAGTCCTCTAGAATGGTTAAAATAGCACGGGCTAGCCAGTTTTCGGACCGGTCATTCAAAAATAGACGGCGTTTGCAAAGTCATTTAAAAATAGCCACTATTTTGCTGCAACAAGGAC